AATTGAATCAGAGATGGCTCGCTTATTACTTCTGCTAAGTCTTCATGGCTCTTTCTTCTCTCCAGAAACACACATACATATATACCTAAAATGTGTATCAACTTCCTTTATATAAAATAAAATAAAATTTAAATAAAATAAAATAAAACTTTTTTGGGATGAGGAGAAAACAAGCTTCATTTTCTTTTATTCTTAAATAGTCTCCTGCAGAGCAAAGTAAAGGCTATGATCTCAACTTCTTAAGTCCTATGAGGAATGGTTAAGGGAACCAGGCATGTTTATAAAGAAAAGAGAGAACTAAAAGAAATGTATTTCTGTATATTAAAAGACAAATGAAAGCAGTTGTGACAGTCATTTACAAATACCTAAAAGGCTGTCACATGCACGAGGGGCAAATCTTGTTCTCTGTTAAAAGTCAGAGACGTCAAGGGTCAGTGGGCTGAAATTAAAAGAAAGGAAATTCTGGCTGAATGGCAGGACAATATGAGCTGTTAAACAGTGGAACAATCTGCCTAAAATGAGTGGACTCCTGCCTGGACTTTTCAGAGACTGACTGCTGAGGAGAGTTTAGAGCAGTGTTCCTCAACCTTGACAACTTTAAGATGTGCTCACTTCAACTCCCAGAATTCCCCAGCCAGCCATGGATAGAAATACCACTAAAGTGAAGGCAATGTTTGTTGAGCACTAGAAGATTCAACAGCATACAAATCACACAGACAGACAGAACATATTTTCTAGAAATATGTACATTCAATTTAAAATGACTGGCTGTGTAATAAAATAACTCTGTTCTCTGTTCCAATTTATTATAATCATGGGATTCAGCAGCAACTTAGTGTTAAATAGAGCACTTTGTCTTCAAACTGGAAGCCAAAAATAGATATAGATTTAATATAGCTCTGTTGTACCTGATGGCAATTCTGAAATCAGTGGCAATGAAAATGCAGGTTTAATCTTCATTAGAAAAATCCTACTGAATTAAAATAAGAATTATTCATTTAGGTGCACTTACATTATACGCATCAATAATCAGCTGAATCACATTACTGGAGTTTGAAGAGAGCATTCCCACTGCAGACTTAGGAATCAAATTCTTCAATTCCTTTAGATACAAGGAATGAAAATATATTAATTACCACACTTGTTATCATTTTAACCAACATACACATGTACTGGATGCTAGGGATATCACCATTTACTGGTCTCCCTACTATGTGATGAAGTTTTCCAAATACTCTTTCCTGTCTTCTATTTCCTCCATTATCATGTGCAGCCACATTTCTAATAATCAGCATTCCTCTACCTAAGTCTGTGCCTCAGTCTCCCTCCCTCTTCCAATGTCTTGAAGTCTTGCTATCAACGTATCTTACTCTTACTACAACGTATCACATGACTTTTTGCAAAGACACTTTCCCTACCCTTGCAAAGTGCAGCTGATCCTTGCCTAATAGTCCCTCACACAAGTGATGTAAACCATTGTCTAAGAATCCAAATCTTTCTTGATATGAGAAAGTCAGTTGTGACTTTCAGGATACTTCATTTCCTTCTCATCCTTCCATCCACATGGAGTGCAACAGCCTGCATTCAGCCATGTCTTCCTGCTGGCTGTTTGAATATCCATATAGAAATGCTTTGTGCTAGTGCTGCTGATAAGGAGAAGCTCGGAGTAAAGCATAGTTTTGTTTCTCACAGGAAACGCTCTCATCGGAAAGAGGAGAATGGCAGATGCTTGGCATTAGAAATAGGATTCTTAAATTACTAGAGGAACTCTGGGAAGATCAGGAAAGATTTCTAACACATCCTGAGAATGCGCCCCCCCCCCAAAAGATCCTATCATAGGAAAGATGGATGTAAACACAAGCTTGTCCACAAGCTCCTTCACCTCCCTACCTAGGGCTTTATACTACCTAGGGCTTTATATTAGGCATTAAATAGGGATCTAAGAGTTTCTTTAAGCTATAGAAATGTATGTCATTTGATCATTACCTTGTATACTGGCTGAAATTCCTCTGTAACAGCAAATATTATCTGAATATTATTGTCACTTAGCTTCTGAACAAGATGAGCAATGGAGGGATAATCCTGAAGAATTAAGTTTAGGTTCATGAGACAATATATTGAATACATTTTGAGTATAACATACAATGCATTCTCTATATACAATATTATATGAAATAAATTTTTGATGCTTTTCCAACTGGATTTATCTACCAACTGTGATGAACAGTCAAATCTTCTCCAAAGTAAATTACTAACGCAGAATAACATTAATTCACCTCTTAATGTAAGCACAAATTCTCATGAATTCAGAGAAAAAATCCCATTACTATAAACCAAAGTAAAAAGAAGAGGAGGGGACATAATGCTGGTGACCATCATACTCCACTCATTTTTTTAATGCAGGGAGGAAACAATAGAAAAGAATATATGCAGCTCAGGTTGAACTGTGGAGTCCTAGGTGCTCTCTGAGCTTGGCTGTTTGCTTGCAAACATTTCATTACCCAACTAGGTAACATCATCAGTGTGAGTGAGTGTAGGGTTTGCTCCCTATTTATATACAGTAGCTTGCCTTGCCAGTTTTAGTGGGGGTGTGGTTTTCTCCTTGGTAGTTCCTTGATTAGGGTATTGTTTTCTGCTTGTTTGCCTGGTGTTAATCCCTGCTTATCTGGTGTTGGCTGCGGGAGAGGATGTGTTCTGTTTTTTTTGCTGTTTCCTTCTTAGCTTTTTTATTGTCTTTTTGAATGGTGTGTAAATATGGTTTATTTCTATGTATCTATTAATGGCTGATTTATCTGAATGCCAGGAATTCCCTAGTGCTTTTGGACTTAGTTTGGTCTAGGATGCTCAGTTTCCCAGTTGAAACTATGGTTGAGTCTTTCCATGTGTTGGGAGATTACGGTGTTTTCATCATGTTTTCTGACCGCTAGTAGGTGGTCATGGATGTGCTCCGCTAGTCTTCCGCCTGTCTATCCTACATAGTGGCTGTTACAGTCCTTAAATTGTAAGTTGTAGATGACTCCCGTTTTTTCTTCTTGGGCTACTGGGTCTTTTGGTTTACTTAAGATGTTTTGGAGGGCTTTAGTTGGTTTGTGTGCTACAGCAATGTTGTGTGGTTGTAATAGTCTGTTGATTATTTCTGAGATGTGTTTGATTTATGGTAGTGTTAACCTTTTCATAGTTTGTATTGGTTGTGCAGAAGTGGGTTGTGGGGTAATGAAACATCTGCAACAAACAACCAAGCTCAGAGAACACCAAGGACTCCACAGCAGGGAAGAAAGCTGAAAAACATTGTGAAGAAAATTTCTATGGGTTATTAAAAAAAAATTCTGCTAACAGGTGATCCCATGTATGCTAGCAAATATTCCTTTCATTATCCTTAAAGATCTTGTAGTTCTATTTTTAAAACTACATGGTTTTTCCTGTCAAACTGTTATATAGGAAAACCAGTATACTTATCTTTTAGAATAAGGAACTGATTTTTTTATTACACATTTTATATTTATTTCATTATCTATCTATCTATCTATCTATCTATCTATCTATCTATCTATCTATCTATC